CAGAACACTGTAATCTTCCTACCAAGCTGGTCCCTATTTTTCTACTTGCATTTTTAATTGCTTTCGAACTGCTAGGTTGGTAGAAGCTGGGGCAAGTAATGGGAGCTCACTCTGTTACGTGGTGCTAGGGATTTGAATCGCCAAACTGCTGACCTTTCAGATCAACAAGCTCAGCATCTTAGCCACGGAGCCACCATGTCCCCCACAATCTTAATATAACTAGTGCAAATTAAGATTCCTGTAACATTGAATTAATAATATAATGTAACTATTTCATATGCAGTAAAACCATTTCTGATTCATTTTTTTCTTACCTGATCCTCAGGGGTCTTTAACCCCCCCCCCCATTTTTCTGTGCTATTTTTGGTGTAAATCTTAGTGTTACAAGATGGTGGAGAAAGCAAGAACCTCATGTGTCACCTTTAGAATAACATCAATTTTCCTTTGAAAAATATTAAGAAACTATTTCTTTGCTATGAAGCTAGATGACAATGATTGGCAAAAAATGTAAATGAAGAGCAGTAATCTATCTTTCTATCTCTCCATCATCAACCCGTTGCCACCCACCCACATCTTCTTCAATCTGAAACTCTTCAGGCATTTCTCTAATATCAGACCCATAGGAAGGCTAAAACTACTTTTATTGAAATTGGCTATAATGGCAGAACCATGCCAATTTGACTGTGCTGTACTTATTCATACTTCTTATATTTCCATGAATTAAGCAGAAGTCTGCTTGAGGTGCTTTCCAAATGTCAGTTCTTGGTTCTGGACTTAAAAATAACATTTCAGCCCATTTTGCCTATATAATAGCTCTTGCATATTTTCATCAAGGTCATCTTCTGTACTCTCTATAGTTAGGGGTATCAAACTGGCGGCCCGAGGGCCAGATGCATCATGTGCAGCCATGCCAACTCCAGCTCCGTGAAGGAGAAAACCATCGCAAAACATCAAGTGATGCCGCAAGTTTGACACCCATGTTCTATACTCTCTATACAGTAGGAACATTTAAATTTGTCTTTACATTTCACATTCGGGGAACTCGATGTAAATGCATTTCTGAATTGAAACAGATTTATTCAGTACAAGGGTACAAATACCCTTTCTTTTGATCTAAACTGAACTTTAAAGATGTCTATGAAGAAGCTACCATGTTTTCCAGAAAATACAACATCCTGATAATAAGGTCAGCCTGATTTTTGGAGTGGGTGTAAATATATGCTGTCCTCCAAAAATAAGCCCTAGTAAAAGGGTGGCGTGGCCAACACAGGAGGAAGCCCTTCCCTGGTCACCTCAGTGCTTCTCGGCTCCCTAATCGGATCAGCTGAGCCAATCCGACTGCCATTCACAAAGCAGCTGATTTGCAGGTGCTGCTCAGGCTGCATTTTCCGGCAAGTGTGGCTGCTTTTACCATCGGTTGCGGCCACAAAAGCAGCAGGGTGCATCTCATGTATCTTGCACCAGCCTTCTGAAGGGTACTGTAGCAGTAGTTATTCACAATTTTTTTATCATTATTTTATCCTCACCCATTTGGCCCAGTGTGCCACGTGGATTGGGACAAAATAAGGGTAAAAAAATTGTGGATAGCTGCTGCTACAGTACCCTTTGGAAGGCCGGCTCGAGTCTCCTGCTGCAGAAGTGGTTGTGCCCGAGGAGCGTTTTTGGGAGAGAAGGCAAAGGGAAAGTGATCAGCTTCATCTCGCCCTTGCCCTCAGCCCCCTTTCTTCGGCTGAGCTCAAGCAGAGAAGTGGCCCACAGGGTTTCAGGAGCAAAGTTGAGGCTGAAAGGAGCCAGGGCGGGGGAATGTCCAGTGCCACCCCAGAGCTCTTCTTGGAAATGGAATCTTGGGAGAGGGAAATGGATCCCCGGGTAGGATGGGTATGTCGGTATGTGTATAAAAAACACAAAGTGGGGGAGCCAGCAGCCGTGGATTAAGGAGCTTTGTGAAACATTACTCCTACAGGCAAAGTTTGGTGAGGGAGGGGGAAGAGATATTTCTCTCTCGTGGCAGTATTTTGCTTGAAAATATTTGAGAATCAGACCAGAGAGAGGAGGAAAAAGCCCTGTGAGGAGATGCTGCCGACACTGCCGCCTGCAGAGACACAGACAAAGAGCGAAGTTCATTGAAGACGCTCCCTCTTCGGCCAGCCCACAAGATTATCTGAAGGTGCGTGGGGGAGATTTCCTGCATATCGGCAGTGGTGTCTTCTCACAGGGCTTTTTCCGACATCCCAGTTGTATGGATTTCCATGCCTTCCTTTACGGGATGTTGCTTCACATCTGGGTTCAGGAGAAGCCCTGTGAGGAGACGCCACTGCCAATGTGCAGGAAATCTCTCCCCCACCTGCAGATCATCCTTTTGACAAGTAGTTTCACCAGGATTAAGAGGTGGCTGGATGGGAGGGGGAGCCAATGTTGCGACGATACGGACGTGCTGTCTTGATGCTCCGAGACAGCTGCCGAACTTTTGCTTCTGGATGGTCCAATCAGACCTAAACCATCCCGTAGAGATGGTGAACATTTTGCTGATCTCAGGGACATTGCAAAGTCCCTGATCGATCCAAAAGAAGTTCTTCAAGCCATCGACAAAAAGCTCAGCCCCAGGTTGATGAAGTTCGGATGGCTCCAGAATGGAAGAGAAGCAGAAAGAGAAAGTGTGTCCATCTGGTGAGGAAACATTACTGTTTTGGAAAAGACTGCCCAAAAAATCTTTTTTAAGTTAAATTAAATCTGAAAGCAGAAGAAAACAAGCAGCGAAATTAACCTATATTGGATTGTTTTGGATAGTGTTTTTTTTCTTTGTAACTCTACTTTGTGGATTGAAGTGCTCGCAACTTTTTTTTTCTTTTTAAAGAGAATGGATTATTTTTTCTTCTTTTTCTTTTTTAATCTATGGATTAAAATCTTTGTTATTTTAACAAAGACTTTTATTTCTTGCTATTAAGAACTTTGTTTCTTTTGAGTTTGAAATAATATTAGAGAGTGGGAAGCAATACTGCCACTTGGAGACTGGAGGCTTGAGCTTTTGAAGCAATTCCCTTTCCCCTTTCCTTTTGATCTCACTGACTTTGTATCTCAAGGTTCTACAACTTGTTTATAGAAAGTGATAAGAAGCAAGAGTACGAATTGTTTATACAGGTGCGTTCTGAGAGCCTTACTGGCAGTGGGAAAGAAAAAGAAACAGAACCTTGTTTTTTGAAGATCATAAATGGGTTTGCATTTAAGCTAATTTAATATAAGAAGCTTTGAAAGCCAGAGTGTCAGTGTCTATCAGTTTGTCTACCAGTTTGTTAAAATGGCACAATACTCAACAGAAACCTTAACTCTGCAAAATATTATGGCTGGATTTCAAAATTTATTAGAAGTAACAGAGAGAATTGAGAAGAAGATGGAAAAACTAGAGTTTATTACAGCAAAACATGATGGGGTCAGAATCCCAAAATTTGAAGAGGAAAATTATTATAAAGACAACACAACTGATGACTTTGGTAATGGAGCGAGCGTGGTTGAAAGTGCGAAAAATGAAGCATGGCAGGAACTCTACCCCGGATTTCAAGGCTTAGAAGAAGAAAAAAAGGGGGGAAAACGATGGATCTATTGAGAGAAAACCTGTTAGAAATGCATGAAAGTCATTTGAAATAAACCTAAACCTAAACCTAATTTGTAACCAATCGACACACTTCTACAATATGTAACGAAAGATGATTTTTTGTGTTGTGTTTGTCTGTTTAATCAAAAATATTTTTTTTAAAAAAAAAACAGGTGGCTGGAGGCAGCGTTTGCGTCGGGTTGGGCTTTCTTGCAAGGTGGACAATCTGGGGAGTGAGAGATTTAGAAAGCTGGGGCTGCGTGGGGCAGTTTCTCCAGCGAAGTGTCTGATTCATCTCCAGGGGTGAGTCTTTCACCCTTTACTGCCTGTTTGCCCTGGCTTGGACGCTGCAGAGGAAGCCTGCCATGCCTGGCGAGGGGGGGGGGGAGGAGAAGAAGAGAAGCACATCCATTTTGTTCTTCACTGTTTGGTCCAGGGAAGTTGAATTCACAAGTTTTTTTTTTTGCAAGGTGCTTCCCTGGACAAAACAATGAGGAACGCAACTAAGCTGCAAGTCTCGGGTAGGATGTGTGTTTCGCGGCTCAACACCTCCCACCCCACCCCAATACTAACAGAATCCTGGCTGCTTCCCTTCCCCACCATCTCTTTAGCGAGAGGTGTGGCAGGTGTGGGGGGGGAGAAGTGAGAGGCTTGGAGCGAGACATGGCTCCTCTTGCTGTCTTTTCTCCTCTCCTCTCCGGGCACGGCAGGCTTCCTCTATAGCTTCCAAGCTGGGGCAGAGAGGCAGCAAAGGGCGAAAGGCTCACCCCTGGGAATGAATCAGACACTTCACTGGAGAAACTGCCCCACACCAGCACAGGCTTCCTAAATCTCTCGCTCCCCAGATTGTCCCCCTTGAAAAGAAAGCCCAACCTGACGCTGGGCGGTGGCAGGACAAATCAGGGCAGTGCCAGTCAGCCGCTTGGCTGGGGCAAAGAACAGAGAGAGTAGGAAATGGGGGTGACAGGACATGCAGTCCCACAATTGCTGCCTCCTGCATCTCCAAAATAACAAGACCCCGCCAATAATAAGGCCAAGGCCATATTTCGAGGGTCAAAAGAAAATTAGACCCTGTCTTATTTTCTGGGAAACACGGTAGTATTAGAGACCATGTCTGTAGGATGATGGAGAGTGACAAAATGATCCTTAATTTCCCTGTTTTAAGCATATCTAGGTGTGTTTGTTCATAATTCTCTGTTATTTGAAACACCTCTCAAGTATTGTGTGGGTGTGGAAGTGAAAATCTAACTTTTCCTCTCAAATCCCATAAGGCATATTATACGAATATTTGAAAATGTTTTATCTGATGAACTTTATGCATATACTGTACATGAATTGATGAGGTCACATACATATTCAACAGGGCAGCTGATTGCTACTTTAGTAACAGCAGTGATATTTCTCATCTTACCTCTCCATTTTCTAGAGGATGGATTTTGGAATAATACGAAGTGCATATAACTTCATCATCCTTTGCATAAGAAGGAGGCCCAGTGCGAGGAGTGATATTGTAACGAGTCAGACATTCTGTGTCTGTGATAGCATGGTACTGCCAGGGTTCATAATTGTTACCATCTAATGAACGCTCCAAAATCCAGTTTCCAGGCCGTGGTGAATTAGCTGCTTTCACAATGACATAAGCAATCTGGAATACCTGAAAGAATAAAAAGAAGCCATCAGAATAATCTCCATTATGTCCCTTTAGCTGTTCCATCGGCCTCCCAGGCTGATTCCACAACAATCAAGATCTGATTCTATTGTACAATTTGCTTTAAATAGTCTAAAAAGCACATAGCCAGTTTAAATCAGAATCTCATACATGGAAACTGATGCTTTAAAAAATTATGTGGAAAATCCTGTTCTGCTAGGGAATTATTGCTCTGACCAGGTTCTAGGTAAACATGTTAACACAAAATATAAATGAAAAAAGTTTTGGCTGACTCAAAACCATCCCCATAACTAAAGAGATTAGCTGAATCCTGTCAACATTAAGGGTTTGGAACATGAAAATGGCAATTAATTCCAAATGCTATAATCATTAAATGTAATAGAGAGTATGAAAGGGGCATTACTGTAGTAATTGTTAAATAAACAGAATGGCCCAGAGAAGCTAGTTTGCTGATACTGAAAACACACAGGGCTGTTGGCCATATTTCTCATTTTTGTCCCATCAATATTAAGTGGAAAGTAAATTCATTGTGTTTAATGTACAGGGATTCTATCAATGTCTTCATACAGCATCAAAACTAAGATATTGAAGACATTTGAATGAGGAAGAAAGAGACACTTGTACTAGTGTTATACTATACTCTAAGCTATACAAAAAAATCCCAATAGGTCTCAGTTAACTGCACAGGATTTACCACTTAGCTTCTTACCTGCAAAATGCAGATAATTCAGATGTTAACTTATACTCAACAAGCTTTCTGCACATTTTGAAATGTAGAATATATATATATATATATATATATATATATATATATATATATATATATATATATA